AATAGTGGGATTGGCCGTCACATTATAACGCCCCCACGGCTGAAAGGGCAAGCATGTTTGATGTGACGGGGATTCGAACCAGCGACCCTCAGATTGCGAGTCCAGCGCCCTAACCACCTGGCCATGCCGGGGCCCTAGCCACCTGGCCATGCCAGGCTCCATATTGGTTTATCTAATAAATTGTTTGTAGTTAATAAGCTGTTTTGTTAAATTGTTTTAGAACAAGCTCTGTTTATCTGTTTACTTATGATGTACACATTTCAAGGATGTTAAGTTTACATCCTTTGGAAATTCATAAACGGTTAAAAAATAAGTAAAGCTGACATGAATATAATACAACACGAAAAGCAATACACTAAATGTTGCATGAAAAAAAGTCAAATAGTTTTAACATTTTAAATTCTTAATAGTAACACAAGATAAGTGACTGCATGAAAACGCGTAGCCATTTTGGTTGTGTTAGTACTTAATTATATTATGATAGAATTAGACATATTATTACTACATAGTTAGTTATGCTAAAAATATTTTAAAACGGATATTAAATTACAATTACACACATTATCTATGTAATATCAACTATAAAAAAGACCAAAACAAATGTATTTAATAATAACGTACGTGACCTCTTGCAAATTAAGAATTCACACTATATATACAAGGTTAGTATCAAAAAGTCAGTTAGCCTATTTCTAACGTTTGTTTGCTTTGAATTTCGTGCAAAGCTACTTAAGGACTATCTGCTGTAGCCGTTCCTAATTTAGCAGTAACAGGTTAGAGGGAAGGCAGCTAGTCAACAACACACACCGCCAATTCTTGGTCCACTCCTTTATCAACGAATAGTGAGATAGACCGCCACATTATAACGACCCCTCGGCCGAAAGGGCGAGTATGTTCAGTGACGGGGATTCGAACCCGTGGCCCTCATGTTGTAAGTCGAATGCTCTAACTACCAGGTCAAGCCAGGCCTTAACGTTTAAAATAAGAAACTAATCATCACAGAGTTGTAATATTTAGTAGATGAAAAAAAAACACAATTAGAAATATGAAAATAATTAACAAATCTCTGGTCGCGAAATTCGCACATTTAACATAAGAACAATTTTCAACGTGACCACTATATATGTCCGGGTATTGCTTTCATTCCTGACAGAATTTAACACACAACTGAAAAATACTGTCTGTTTTTTTGTTTTTTTTTGTAAGTTATCCACAAAGCTCCACAATGGGCTATCTGTGCTCTGCCCACCACGAGTATCGAAACCCGGTTTCTAGCATTGTAAGTCCGCAGGCATACCGCTATGCCACTGGGTGGGGGGGGGGGGGGCGATACTGTCTGATTTGTAGCATTCACATTTTACTCTGCGTCCTATGATATATCTCTGATCGTTTAAAGTATCAGGCGCGTCACGGAAAATGAAAGGTTTAATTAAGGTGGTCTCTTATGTAATATTTAATAAGGTTGTGACGCGCAGCCCGTGCTGGTCACGTGTGGTTGGTAAAACTTCTACCGGTTACTCAATCCCCCGAAGTCTTGTCCCAGTAATGTATCTACAGTTTGTCCAATAGGGGGGGGGGTGGATCCCCGTCTCGCATCCTTCTATTATGGTCTTTAAACTTTTCTTCGAAATTATACAGCGTAATTATAAAGTTTACTTAGTCTATTCTACTGTTCATAATTTGAAAACAAACTGTCAGAAAGCTACGATCTTTTGTGGATGAGGTAACGAGAGAACGAAAAAGGTGATTCTGGTATTAAAACGAAGTGTTATAGATAAACATTTCATATTGGTGAAATTACTTTATTAATTAATTACTCCTGGTACTTATATGAAAATATGAGAATTGTTCTTGTAAAGCACAACTACATGTGTGGTAATAATGCTAATACAACGTTAAGGTCATATCGACGTGAACGTATGGTAATAATGCTAATACAACGTTAAGGTCATATCGACGTGAACGTCTGGTAATAATGCTAATACAACGTTAAGGTCATATCGACGTGAACGTCTGGTAATAATGCTAATACAACGTTAAGGTCATATCGACGTGAACGTCTGGTAATAATGCTAATACAACGTTAAGGTATATCGACGTGAACATATGGTAATAATGCTAATACAACGTTAAGGTAATATTGACGTGAACATATGGTAATAATGCTAATACAACGTTAAGGTCATATCGACGTGAACGTCTGGTAATAATGCTAATACAACGTTAAGGTAATATCGATGTGAAAGCAACAGTCGAAGAGAACTGTGCGATCATAAGGCTTCTGGGAAGCTCATAAACGATTCTCAACAAGGAAGATTGGTTGTGGATGTCAATTGACAACACAATATTATTCCGACACTTCAGGTACGAAAAGTTTTGAATAAAACATATTTCATCTCACTTTGTCTAAAGACTAATATCTATAAGTTAACCATCTCACTTTGTCTAAAGAGTAATATCTATAAGTTAACCATCTCACTTTGTCTAAAGAGTAATATCTATAAGTTAACCATCTCACTTTGTCTAGAGAGTAATTTCACTGAAATATTTCATTTCCATACGTTAAAAGCTTGTATTGTAAAAAACAAAACAAAACAAAAAACTTTGTCTAGAGAGTAATTTCTATAAGTTAACCATCTCACTTTGTCTAGAGAGTATATCTATAAGATAACCAGAGATGGTTAACTTATAGATATTACTCTCTAGACAAAGTGAGATGGTTAACTTATATATATTACTCTCTAGACAAAGTGAGATGGTTAACTTATAGATATTACTCTCTAGACAAAGTGAGAGGGTTAACTTACACGAATTACTCTCTAGACAAAGTGAAAAGATTAACTTACAAAAATTACTCTCTAGACAAAGTGGGAGGGTTAACTTACACGAATTACTCCCCAGACAAAGTGAGAGGGTTAACTTACACGATTACTCTCCAGACAAAGTGAGAGGATTAACTTACAAAAACTATTTTCTGATAAAATGAAATTGGTAACTTACGTGGAACTACTCTCCAGACCACGTGGTTTCCCACTTCCAGTGCTCTTTCTGGAACAACAACAAATTTTGATCTGCTTCCATGTTTCATCGGATTCTTCACTCGTCTAGTCTTGTATTGTGTTAACAGGTAAGGTATATTTCCCGGGGGGGTCTCCGGTTCTTCATTGTAAGCTGTAGTGTCATTATCCCAGTATAAATAGAAAAATGCGTTTTGAAACACAAAACTACTAGGTTGGTATGTCCCTCGCCTGATCTTTGTAAGATCTGTAAGGAGTTTATCGTATGTGACGTTTCCAGTTGGAATGATAAACTCGTCAAAGTCCAACATAAGAACGTACTTAAAAAGGAACATTGATCTGTAGAGGCAGTCGTTTAGCGCAGCGAAAAGTCCTTCTGTTCGTATTTCTTTTTGAGATTGGATTTCCAACTTCCATGGCAGAAGCGATACAACTCCTTGTTGTAGGTAGACCATCACAGCCTGCTCTACTGCATGGCCCATTGAATGGTTGTATAGGAAAAAATGTTCTACTCCCAAAAGTCTATGAAGTTCTAAGAACTCAATAAACCACGTAGCTCTATCATAAGAATAATGCAAAGGCTTCACGCACAACGCTATTCTTCCGTGAGGTAATGTATTATTGTCTTCTTTGTTGTCATAAACTGTTAGAATGGCAGCAGCTTTAAATTGGCTGTTGTCAGCGACGGATACATTGAGTGGTTTTGAGTCATCTTTATTTAATGCGCAGTAGAAGAAGCAAGCAGAGTATTTGAGGTTCCAATGTTCGTTTATGATCCTTTTGTAAGCTACTACTAGAATGGGTTTTTTATGAGAAAACTGGAGTTTACAGTATACTTTCGGACCACCTCTGGTTAGCGCAGCCCCGATGACTACTACAGATGGCGCTTGTGGGTTCCTCTTGTCCAAGTAAGCGGAATATACCATCAGTTTATAAGGTGCCGAAACTAGATTCGCTCGCTGCCAATGATCTACGTGAGTGTTCCAAGTCTTCCCGTGGGACGTTTTCGAATTCTTAATTGTATGCAGGCTGTACTCCCTCTGATTAACGAAAGACTTGGTGGGTTTTACTGATGCACTTTTTGACTTACTCCCTTTCATCGTTTCTCCAAGAAGTCCATTGTTACTGAGATCAGCAACATTCTGTTGATGTACGATCATTGAAGACAAAATTAATATCCAAATATAAGTACCACAACACAGAAGAAGGAGCAGAAGCAGTACCTTAGCGAGGGAAGAGCAGCAAGTACATTTTAGCCACCGTCTTCGGCATTTAGCAGATCTGTACTTAATGAAACAACGACGACAATTCATCAACAAGTTCAAATATTTGAACTCAGAGTAGTTTTCTGCACGGTTTGGAGACAATGGTCAAATATGTAGAGGTTTTGTAATTATCAGATATTATAATCTTGTCGTTTCTTCAAGCAAATTCTAAAGAATTGAATAAGCAGAGGTAGTATGAAAAACTTCAATGAAAATAATAAAACATATCAAAGAAATTAATTTCTAATCATTGCTGTTTTCTCCTTTTTTATAGAGTTTATAGTGCTTATACAGAGGGTTAAGTACGTTATATTAAAACGACTTTGAATACGCAAATCAACAAGTCATGCGACAACCACAGCCAATATAAAGTCGCGATGGAACGGCGTGTATGTAAACTACATTTTGACATTGTTTGGAGTTCTGTAGGTGGCGTGACGCCACCGAAAACTGGTCGCCTTTGGAATGGTTATGTAACAGCCCTTTCCGACACGAAATATTCATCCGTTCAGATGAAAAAGCTGTATTAAGATCGGAGATTTGGAATCTTCATGACGGAATAATCTTTGTTCTTAAAGGCATTAGAAAACAAATGAATATGGATCAACTTGGGGCTCTGGAACCATCCAGAAAGAGACCTGCAACATATCGTACTCAAGCTTTGCTAAGCAAAGTATTGTAACAATTAAGAATCTACAATCAGAAATGTCATCGGAAAAACCAAGAACCCAGAACGACATAATCAAGAAGTTTCTTCTTTTGGAAAAGTGGCACGAGTCACGTGTCCATAAGTTGCTTCCACGACATATCCAGATAAGAAAGACCAACTCTGGAAAAACCTTGTCGTGGAAAAGTGGCAGTAAGTGGTGATAATCAACGAAATATATGCGTGCCTTCATAAATGTAATAACTCTTGAGAGATTTTCTACCATTCAATGGGCGAAAGCAATGTCCAGATGTAGAACATAGCATGTCGAGAATTTTTTTAGAAGGGATTCGTGATCACCACTGGACATTATGCAAATATGGGATCAAAGATCAAAGTGAAGTGTGCTTAGTATCAGATCCATGTTCTGGATCCTTTGTACAGCCCAGAAATACTGGATTTTTATGGAAACAAGGCCAACACAGTATGGGTTCACCAAGATAATACTTCCAGTCATACTTCCCGTTCAATCGTCACATACTTCAAACAAATGGCGAATGGAACGAGTATTCATGCTATTCCAAACGAAGACATATCGAGTGAGTCTCCGGTGCAGCATCTATTGGTTTCTGTTCAATCAGATTGTTGAAACGGGTGCTGAGAAACCGTCGTCTTCGTATACTAGATGGATAGTAAAATGCATGCAGGAAAGAGAGGTGTTCTTTGACGTGATAGCCTTGAGACGAAGCCTTTTACAATGGAAACTGCGCTGCAGTTCTATTGTTAAGATGCACGGTGGAAAGACGGAGTATGATCTCCCCTGGCGTCTTAGACTGCAACGAAATGTGAAGCTCCAAAACTGTTTGATATAACGTACTCAACACTCTGTATGCCTTTTTTTTTTGTAAATACTTGATGCTCTTCTCTTTTCAAATTTGTCAAACATTAATAATACACTCATTGCAATATAAATGAATAAGTAAACATGCCCTTAAAGAGAAATAAAAACAGCTTCATGATTGAATATTTTACACAAAGTCCGATGAGGGATGTTATGTGGTGTTCTTTGCATACTTCGTTGTATAATTCGAATCGGCAGTTCTATATTCGATAAAATAAAAAGGTGCCATCGTTAACCGAAATATTCATAAACCACACAAAAGTTTCAAAACAACAACAACAACTACGTCTTTCACTGTAGCTATTTTACAGATACGAATAAAATTCACAGTATCTGAAATATTTTCCATATATTAATACATAATACCGTGTAAAACAGTCTAAAATAATGTTGTTGTTGTTCGGTAATAGCAGATCTAAACTTTTTTTTTTCTTTACTTCTGGGTCAGCTGAGGAAGATGTATAAAACTCCATTGTTTCAACCACTTCTTCCTTTGTCTGTATAGAATCGTGCTTTCCACCAATTCTTTAAACCTGGGCCAAAATTTGTCAGACGTGTGACGTCACAATAAGGGTAAAGATCTCAGAGGCAAATTCCATTTTTTTAGTTTGTTTGTAATTAAGCACAAAGCTACACTATGGGCTATCTGTGCTCTGCCCACCACGGGTATCGAAACCCGGATACTAGCGTTGTAACTTCGCAGACACAGCGCTGTGCCACTGGGGGGGGGATTTTTTAGTCCATTTTAAATAAAGAAAGCATAGTTAAAAATATTAATTTGAAACTACTTGCATTAGAGCCAAATTGAATACACATATATCAACGAGAGAAAACACGCACCTCAATTTCCTTTAAGTTAAGCAGCAAGGAAAACAACAACAAATAAAAAATTACTAACATTAAAACAAGTTTTAAAATTATATATCTTATTAATTTACTGTCTTTCTAAATGTGATATAATATTAACAACCTTGACTTTTATAACACCTTGCATACCTACTATCGCCAACACTATCTAAAAAAAAACGACCTTTAGTTACGTGTTTGGTTATGAAAGACACATTTTTTTATATACATATTTTTAGTTTTTTTAGGTGTCGGTACTTGACTGCAATTTCAGTTGCCGGAGCAACGTTCCAGTGCACTCTGGCAGCACTACACTCCTGCACTGGGGGTAAACCTTGCAAGTGAGAGTAAGTATATTCTTCATGTAAGGCATAAATACAGATTGGTGAAGGAGCAACGGCTCGTTATTAGATCAGACTCTACATACATTGCTCCATATTAACAGTTGGACTATATCATAAAATGAAAAAAAAACTGTTAAAATGGTTGAAAAATGACGAAAATATAACCTGTTAATGAGAGTTGGCATACACAGCAATAATATAAATAACGAAAATATAACCTGTTAATGAGAGTTGGCATACACAGCAATAATATAAATAACGAAAATATAACCTGTTAATGAGAGTTGGCATTCATAGCAATAATATAAATGACGAAAAATATAACCTGTTAATGAGAGTTGGCATACATGAAAAGAAGTTATAATGGATGAAAATTTAATCTGTTAATGACATGTATATATATATATATAAACTATCATAAGAGATGTATTAGTTAATACTTGTGATATAACTAAAAGTTATCTAATAGTCACTTTCTTGATGACGTCACAAAAGCTGATTTAAATGACGACGGAACTGGAAGTCTCCTAAACCTAAAACTTCTGATATAATTAAGGAGGAGAGAACTTTGGATGTTATATTAACGTTAGGGTGACACTTGGAAAAACTGTGTTTTGTGTTCCGAAATTTCAGCTGAAGAAAGTTAAGGCTGCGTATGTTGAGCATATCTGTTTACACAAAGAGATTTTTGTCTCAGTTTTTTAATTAAATGAGACAAAAAAGGGATTTTTTTTTTAATTTGAGAGATTGCTCGGAAATGTCTGAGAACAGAAACAAATCAACTTTCTTTGTTTGGTTGTTTTATAGCAAAGCCACAATACAGCGAGAAATCGTAAGTATGACAGAACTTGACATAGGAGGACATCAGTTACATTTGTACACAATAGAAAAAACGACGTACAGGACATGGTTGAAATTGAAATCTCTAACCATTGAGAAAGGCGATATTTGCTGAATTATTTCTTCATGATAATGTGACGAAGAATGGGATATGGTTTTCCTTATGAAGTGAATACAATTTGACATTTTCAAACTAAACGGCATGTTAAACGAGCAGGAGTTAAACTATTAGGTCAGTGAATAACAGGATTCAGACAAAGCCATCTCTGATTTTGAACTACTGACCAGAGGAAGAACGGATAGCCAGGAGCTTTGTCAGACTGCTGAAACCGAATAGGGGGAATGATTGTCACTTTTATAACGCTCTCATAGCTGAAATGCGGAGTGTGTTTGAAACGGTATCACGACGGCTGAAACCGAATAAGGGGAATGATTGTCACTTTTATAACGCTCTCATAGCTGAAATGTGGAGTGTGTTTGAAACGGTATCACGACGGCTGAAACCGAATAAGGGGAATGATTGTCACTTTTATAACGCTGTCACAGCTGAAAGTTCGGAGTGTGTTTGAAACGGTATCATGATTCGAACCTTGGGCCTTGTGATCCCACTAGGCCACACCAGGTTCTGTTCAGCAGGGAGAGACATAACTCAATATTTGAAGATGAAGTCAAATAATTTTCTTTGTTATATGGATTTTATGTGTTGTTTGGTCATGTAACCCAAATTTTGGTAAGCACGAATACTCAGTTTTATGTTTTTAACATGGCAATACAACGAAAACGTACGGTGGAAACTTGGTTTAAACAGAAATGAAAGGTACGAGTTTTTCTCACCACCCACATCTTACCAAGTTAGGTAAACATACACATTTGAAATATCTTTCCGTTCCTAGAATCAGCTGGTACCCAAACTGCATACTTTTCAAATCTGGACAGCTGCGAACGTTTGGTTTGTTTTGAATTCCGCACAAAGTTACACGAGGGCTATCTGCGCTAGCCGTCCCTAACTTAGCAGTGATAGATTAGATGGAAGGCAGCTAGTCAACACCACTCACCACCAACGTTTGGGCTACTCTTTTTACCAAGCAGTGGTGGGATTGACCGTAAAATTATAACACCACCACGTATGAAAGGGCGAGCATGTTCGGGGAAGGGGATTCGAACCCGCGACATTAGGTTGCGAGTCGAGCGCCTTAACACACCAGGCCATGCTAGGAGCAGCTTCGAAAGTTGGAGACTACTTTTTCGTGATATCGCAGAATTCCAATTCAGCCATAATCAACCATATATTTGTTAAGCAATATTGACAGAGGGTAAG